GGTTGTCGGTATGGGAACCAGTGAGCGAGAGGGCCTGGAGAAATTTAAGAGGGGAACAATTGCGGGTATGCTATCAAACCGGGTATTCCAGCGCCGTACCATCACTGCACTGAAGTACTTCGGTTTCTGGACAGCCCCGTGATGAACGTCGTGAATTAGGTTGTTAGGCTGAGATGTGCAGTCTTGTTGTTGTTTCATGTTGTGTTCATGCATTCTGGTGGAGAACCTCCTTACCGTTTGTTTCATACGCCGCTTGTCGTAGTCCTTGCATTGAATTCTGTGTACAAAATTTCTCTTCATCGCTGCATCTTATTTTCCTTCTGGTCCTGATAATGAACTCCGCAAAGTTTTCGCAGGCATGCAAGCGACTATGTTATTGTGTTGTCGTAAGAGCCTTGATGTCATTTCAGTGGAGCTCATGATGTATTGGAGTGACTCATCTGCTTTCAAGTTGCGCAGTAGCATCTGCCGTATTTAGCCTCTTGAATGATTATAAATGAAAGTTCTTGGGTACCCATCCCTTTGTAACGGTTTTTGTGAGTGTGTTTCTTCTTGAATCTTATATTCCTTTGTGCTGCAATATGTTTCGATCAGATTGAAAAGTGTTCGAAAGCAGCTTTGTTTGTGACAATTTGGACGGTTGTCGTGGTACCTCCGGATACGGATTCAAACAATGAATTAAAACACGTAAATCGCCAAGGGTGGTTGTTTTTTTCAAGTGAGCACGGCAGACAGACAACATGTATGAGGGTGAAGGACCGTCATAGGCCGTTAGCTTAGTCTATCACGTGCCTCATATTCATCTGGTGCGTAGATACTGTCCTGATATTTACCCTAAGTATCAAAGATAGGCAACAACACAGAGTTACGAGTATGATGGGCCACAGTTGGCCATGGTGTTAGGTCGCCGTGCATAAGTGATGGCTCAGTACCAGCGTCGCACATAGACAGGGGTCTAGCAGTTACCATGAGTAGCTGAGGCATACGACAGCGCGTGCGGTTATCATGATAACCGGCATTGGGTGGCCTTATTTTCTGCCATATAGTTAGTCTTGCTGACGTATTCTAACCAGGAATCACGATTACTTCCATTGTTGTCGATTAACATACGATCATCTCACAATGCAGCACTATCTACAGACTATTTGAGTATGTCATAGAATGGGGTTTATCCCCATAGGTTCATACCAATATCAGCACTTCATAGTATATCAGATTATCTTTGAGCATTATAATGAACGGAAGGCGAGCTTATAAGAAAACTGTGTTGTGCCAAGATTCGCTGAACAAATTCATCTTATTGTTTCGTTTGGGGAGTTTTGCGCACACAGATGTTAATCTATCATCTTTCTGGGTAAAATTTACAAGGTGGGTTCTGCGGATGTTATCTGAATAACATTGTACACTGCGGAATTCTTCAATATGCTAGAGTTGGATTCCGTGCCTTATCTCGTAAACCCATTGTGAATCACGAATCGGTAGTGGTCGATAACGTTGAAAGCTCGCCCAGTTAAACAAAATGCTGCGAGCAACATGCCACCGGGACATGCGGACGGTTTAGACGAAACCTCCTAAAAAGCGCTAATTCAAGTACCTATGGTTTCGCCTGAAGTAATTTG